CTTCTTCCAATTTTATGTGTATATATCTGGTAATATGAATAGCTGGTTGTAAGACAATACCATGTATTACAACAAATACTATGAAATTCATATTACTTTGTTAAGTAAAATTCTGTATGAGTTGTCAAAAATAAATAAATTAATTAATTAATTTAAAAAATAAAAACATGTCAATAGATTGGAGCTCAAAGAAAAATATGTAAGGTCCTATAGTTAGTCTAATATAGATCATATGTGATATGTATATGATCAAGTGTCTGAGGAAGTTTTGGTACTGACATCTTTATGATAAAGGTGGCATTGCACTAAGTGAAGGGGAGCTAGACATTTGAATAAATGATTAGGTGTAACTTAGCAATTTATAAAAAACTAGATCTAGAACCATATCTTATACTGAAATGAAGTCAGGTATATCAAAGGTTTAAATGTAAGTAAAAAAATTATTGATGTCCCTTAAAACTAGGCAGACTTTGTCATAATGTTGGAATGAGGAAACCTTTCAAAAAATGTAAAACATAAAAGTGTAAAATCAATAAAGTCAGCTATTGGGTTGAGAATTAACTCAGCGGTTTAAGTGCCTGCCTGGTAAGCATAATAACCCAGGTTCAATCCCCAGTACCACATGCCATGCTGGCCCCACACCATGCCAGAGCCACTGAAACCAGGTGTGGTGGTATGCACCTGTAATCCCAGCACTGGGGAAGCTGAGACAGGAGGATCACTATAAGCCCAAGCTTTATAGCAAGACCCTGTGCCAAATAAATAAAATATTTTTTTAAAAAACAAGGTCAACTATATGAAAATGAAAATTTTTCTGCAAAGCAAAAACTATAAAAAGATAAAAAACTAAAAAATATATATCTAACTCTACAAGGAATTAGTTGGGGGCACTGGGGATTGGAGCTAGGGCCTCACAAATGCTCGGCAAGTGCTCTACCACTGAACTACATCCATAGCCTTTTAAACTTTTTGAGACAGGTTCTTACTACATTACCCAGATTGGCCTTCAACTTTCAATATTCTTGCCCTAGCCTCTTAAGTAGCTAGAATTACAGGTGCAGACCACCACCCAATTACAAGGACTGGGGGCTAGGGAGATGGCTCAGTGGAATAAGCGCTTTCCTGGCAAGCACAAGGGCCTGAGTTCAATCCCCGGTTCTGAAAAAAAAAAAAAAAAAAAAAAAAAAATTACAAGGACCAACCTACGTATTAAAAAAAGTTTTACAAATTAATAAAAATAAACTAATGGAAAAAATAAGATTTTAAATAATGTGCAGGAAAGCTAAAAACTCTCAAACACATAAAAATATTCTACCTCATTGTGTGAAGGATACAAGCTGAAGCTGTAATGGGACATTATTTTTTCTCTAGATTAACAAAGATTAGAGTTGGTAAGAATTTGTGATGAGCAAATGGCGGAAAGCAGGCAGTGGCAGTCATTGCTGCAGAAATGTAGTTTACTTGATCATTATGGAGAGTAATTTAGCGCTAATTAGCAAACACGAACATGCATACTTGCATAGGGCAAGCTTTCTCAACTGAGGCACTACCGACATTTGGGGCTGAATTTTTTTTTTTCTTTTGGAGGGACTCTCTTGTATAGTATAGGGCTGTTAGTATCCCCAGCTTTATTCTACCAAATGCTAGAAGTTTCCCCCCAGCTGTGATAAACATTTCTTCAGCTATGCCTCGTCTCTTGGGTGCTAAGTCACCTCTGGTGAAAACCCCTAGAGCAAGCGGTTTCACTCCAAGTAGTCAGTGCTACTGAAAAGCTTGCCTGTTTACAATGTGACTATACTCAGAAGATTAGTAATTGCGGTGTTATTTGTTATATTAGCAAGAGCTGGAAGAGCTAAGTGGCTCCTGAAGGGGACTTCCTAAGTTATGATATATACTCAGGGAAAACCATGCAGCTGCCAAAAATAATGCATAAATCATGTATTGATACAGAGGAAACGTCAAGATTTGAATGGAAATAACAGCCAGATTAATAAAAGTAAATAGAGGGCTGACCAGATAGCTCAGCAGACTAACCGCCTGCTTTGGCAGGCATAGAGACTTGGGTTCGATCCCCAGTGTGCCCTGCCAGCCCCGTCCCTAGGGCGCATGGAGACTGCAACTGAGACTGGGCGTGGTGGTGCGCGCTTGTAAGTCCAGCACTTGGGAGACTGAAAACAGGAGGATCACTACGAGTGGGATCTGCATAGTGAGACCCTGTAGCCCCTGTACTAAATCCATAAATTAAATAAATAAGTACATGTGACTAGAATGTTACTTTTTGGGTCAAAAAAATAAGATACCTGCTTCAATGTTAAAAAAGAATCTTTGTGTCTGACTTGTACTGTGCATTTGGTCATTCTTCCACGATCTCGATACAAAGCATATTGATCATGATTGTTCTCTATGTCAAGAATTTTTTTTCATAAAAGAAAAGTATTTTATATTTTCCTTTTAAATATCTACTTGTATTATATTAAAATAAAATTAGAAAAAGAAAGAAACATAAAAGTAGCATCTGCTGCTGGGATGGAGACTTGCGTGAGTGGGGTGCAGGGGGCAGTGGGAGCTTGTCACTTTGAACTGTATGGAGAATCCCAGATGATATTGCAGTTGACATAGTGTTGCAAGCACTTCACACCCTTCATGACTGGTGTCTCTGGACTAAATTAAAACATGACAGTCTGTTTTGAGGGGGGAAGGGAGGGAGGGAAGGAAGGAGGGAGAAAGAGAAAGAGAGAGAGAGAATATTTTGACTTCCCCACCTTCACAAATTTAACCATGACTTTTTAGAACTACCTTGAGACTGGGTGAGAAATAGCAGGACCAGCAGGTCCTCAAAGCAGAAGCCACTAAGGTTCCCTGGGGTAATCTTTCCTTCTCAACCCAGGACCGGGCCAAAGCAGAGGCTTTGAACAGGAAGCTTCGGAAGGAGATGGCAGAGTTCCGGGTGCCACCAGTGATGATGTACGTCCGGGAGAAGATCTTAAATAGGGACCTGGAGAATACCATCAAGATGTGGGAGAGGAAAGTGGAGATTGCTGAGGTGAGTCACCCCAAGGCGGACCTGAGCCTTGGTGACGCGGCCTTGTTGGTGGGATTGGCCAGTCTTCTGAGCTATCAACTTTTTTGTTTAAGTTTTTTTTTTGTTGTTGTTGTTGTTGTTAATATTATAGAGATATTTGGACATACTGTGTCTGTGAGAAATTTTAGCAGTTGCCTTAACTATTAAACCAAAATGAAGGATGATTTTTTTAAAATTGGTTTTCTTTATCAGGGGGTTGGTACTGGGAATTGAACTCAGCACCTTGAGCTTGCCAGGAAAGCGCTGTGCTGCTTAGCTATATTCCCCACTACAAGTTTTTTCCTTGTCAGGGACAAAGTCTTCTGAGGTATCTGGGAGACACTCTAGTCATACTATTTTTAGTTGCTTGTTAATGAGTTTAGAAACTTCTAAATCTTTCTACACTGAGTAATTTACTTTTTGCTACTGTATACATGAAAAAGTCAGCTTTTAAATAAAAAAATAAAATAATGGATTTTTAATATCACTTAGAATCCAATTCCAAGTGTTTATACACTCGCTGTGAGTTTTTAACTAATCCTTTGAATATGGTGCGGGATACACAGAAAATATGGTTCTTGTGAACTGTAGAAGAGAAATGGGCAACATGAAAACAACATGCTTGTTTCCCAAATGAGGAGCACACCAAGACTGCCACAGCCAGGTTACTAACTGAGGTCTATAGAAGACACCATCAGTGTAGCTTAAAGCCCAGTCACAGAGCTGGATGCAGTGGCGTCTGCCTATGATCCCAGCCACTTGGGAGGCTGAGACTAGAGAGAGACCAGTTCAAGGCCAGCCTGGGCAATTTTGTGACTTAGTGAGATTTTGGTTCAAAGTAAAATAAACCATAAAATGGACCAGGACAGAGCTGAGTGGTAGAGTTTGTGCCTAATACATGAGGCCCTAGGTTCAACTCTCAAGACTTCAACAATATCAACAACCATGACCAAAAAACCCAGGTAGGCTGCTTGGGAAATGGGCTTGGGTTTGATGTCTAGTTTCTCGCTCCATTTTCCATGTCATTTTCTTCTTCCGCTGTGGACACTTGGTGGCAGAGAGTAACTTAGGAGTAAAACATGGGCCCATTAATCTGAAACTGTGAAGTGGTGCAGAAGCATAGCAAAACCCTGCTCCCTCTTCGCTGAACAGAAACGCGTTCTTTAGAGGAGTCTCCCCGGTGGTCCCTGCCCAGAATGCGCAGGTCACCTGTACCAGCAGCAGGGCCACACGAGGATTGCATTTGTACTGGGCACACTGATTGACCTTCTTCCCCTGGCCCTTTTCATTTGTGCAGATGTCCTTAAAAGGCTACCGCAAGACTTGGAACAGAATGAAGACAACCAATGAGCAGTTGCAAGATCTCCCCGCTGGGAAATAACCAGGATTAGGCCACAGTTTGCGGACAAGAAGTGATCCATTAAATGATTCAGCTCTTTTTAATCATGGGGTCCTCTCACTGTTCCCTGTGCTAGCTGGTGTCCTCCACTCCCAGCCACATGGATTGTCACCTTCCTGGGCACATCTGTTGCTGGGAATTGTCTTTCCAGCCTAGCCTGAGCTCTTAACACCAGTGAAAGAACCACAGGGCACTCTTGTGGTTTGACATTTAGTTCACAAGCATAAATAAAAGTGACCCTCTCACAAGTGGGAGTGGAACAGAGGAGGGAGAGCCAGCCTGGCGTGTGCCGTGGGTCTATGCGCAGCAGCCCACGCATGCAACTGTCCAAACCAGACACCACAGCAGCACAGGGGATGCCTGGCACTCAGCATGCTGAGTTTTCTCTTCAGTTTGATGGGTTCCTTCCTAGATCTACACACTGCTGCTGAAGAAAACAAGCATGAAAAGAACCAAGATTTCTTGAGGCTGCACTGTGTCCTGGCCTGCAAAAGACATCTTCCCAGCATGCCCACCGTAGTAGTCATAGTACATGGGGTGAAGAGCCATCTCGGCAGAACTGTCTGCTTGCTGTAGGCCCTTTACCCTATGGTCTGGACCATGTCTAGAGCTAGAGCTGTTTACTTGTTGTAAATGTACACTGGGCTTTCTTTGTCCTTGGGGGTAGGATTGGGACCATCCTACATGGCCCTGTTGAGAATATGTAGCCTGCGTCACGACTGCAGGAAACCTATGGTGAGAGAAATGGATCAACTTTTCCCAGAGGTGGAGTGAAGACAGGGGAGGGCCAGCCATGCTGGCCTGGGATGTGATCCAATCGCTGTAGTCTTCCACCTTGGTATACAGATAGAAGCCAGGGCATTTCTCACCACCGTGGGTCAGGAGTCCTCTCAGGACCCACAGATCCAAACCCTGCAGCTGGCACATCATGGGGCTTCCTGGCTCCCCCTGTGACAAAGGACAGAATACTTCAGCCTCCAGAAAAGAACTTGTTTTCTTTCTTATTAGATCCTTATGCAATTTACTATTCATTCTAGAAACATACTGGTTCTCCCTGGAAAGAGGACAAATTATAGGATGCTATTTCAAATCTACCCAAGTACAAATACAAATTCCAGCATGGTGACTTTTAGTTTTATAGTAGGAATCATTGGTGGGAGCTTGAAGCTTGCCTATAGCTTCCTGATTCGTATTTCATTTTCTTGCCCCTTTCTAGTACTTTGATGAGCATCATCCCTGTCTTTCTGCTTCTTGTCTCTTGAAGGTTTATTTCTTTGCTTCCTGGCTTGGACTGATTTTGTTTCTCCCTTTTCTCTATCATCTAAGCTACCATGCTTCCACTCTACCATTGGAGCTACTCCCTCCCATCTGCAAGCCCTGTGGAATGGGTGGGGAGCTGGGAAGACAGTCCCCAGGAGCATATGCTAGGCAGGGTTCTTCTCTGAGTTTAGACACCAGGGGTCCTTGAATAAGTGGCTGTGGGTTCTGTAGACTATCATGAGACAGGAGGACAACCATGTCTGCGCATCAGGGCTTCATGCACAAGAAAACCCCAGTGTCTGATAAACAGAAGCCTCAGAGGATGCTAGACACAGTGACCCCCCCCACACACACACACCATAGACCTGCTTGAGGTGTATCTGCACATGGAGTTTGGACTCATATTTTCACATGTTTAGCTTGTTATAGAACATCAATTGCCAGCATTGTGGCACACAGCTGTAATCCTAGCACTCTGGGAGGCTGAGGTGGGGGCCTGCAAGCTCAAAGCCAGCTTGGGCAATTTAGTAAGACTGTCTCAAAATAAAAGTAAAAAATAAGCACTGCATGTGTATCTCAGGATGTAGGCCCTGGGTTCAATATTCTGTACCATCAATCATCAATCATCTGTAACTCAGATATGCTTAACCATGTTACAGAGAAAATAGTAACTAGTAAGTCCATTCAGTAGATTTTTACTGAACCCTTGCTATGTGCCAAGGACTATTTGCCTCAGAGACATCCATGGCCCAAATCATTGTCCCTGCCCTTGGGTCCAAGACACCCTTGACATCACCAATGTGTACTCTCAGGATTTAGCGTCTACTTTTATTATGTTCTTACCAAGCAGACAGTGTCAGTTTCCTGCTCTTTGTGACTGCCACAGCCCGTTTTCTGGAGTTTGTGTAGGGGACACAAGTCAAGGTCTTTCACGAAGATTCTCCTCAGGATACTCATTGTCATGTGATTTCCTGTCTGGACCATGCAACAGAGAGCCCATGAATTATTGAGAAGGAAGCCCCTTAAGTCAACACAACTGCAACTCACATATACAAATGGAAATGAGTAGAAAAATGTCTCTATATATCTTTGCTTCACAGAAATCAGAACCTCTGTCTGATTTTATACTGAAACTATCTTTGCTTTAAACTTAAAGGTGTAAACATGAAGAGAATATTGCACCCTTCCTCCACATCTAAAGAATATCCATGTCCTCATTATTTTTTTCTGGAGAATGACAGAAAACAAGGATGATTTAGAATAGAGGAACAACCAGCTCTGGCTCACCTCATACCCATTCTAGACAGTCCTCTACCTGTGTACTTCAGTTTGGGGACAGAGACAGAGGACAAAGAACCAGTGTAATGTGAAGATGGCTCCAGAAAGGACAAGCACAGGGAATCTCCACTGATTATTGGAAGATCCAGCCCAACTCTGGAACTTCAAGCAACCAGAACCAGTAAGCCTAGAACAGTTCATCCAAGGCACCCCCCTCGCCAGCACACACACAGACTCCTCTAGGAGAAGGATTGCATTAACTGCAGATGTGGGATTCCATCCTGACACCCAGCAATTCTTCAAGGCTGGGAGCACAGGCCGATCCTTCTCCAGGAAGCAGATGGACTGGACCAGATCATCGAAGTGCATCGCTGAGTCTGTCTTCAGGAGGGCTATGTTATTGTTCATGGAGTAGTTGTCAAATTCCTCATGGATGATGATGGTGCTGACCGGGTACTCTATGTAAGAATTCTTTCTTGGATCCATGTTAGCTATACCAACCACAACGATGGCCTCCTTCCTGGAGAGAGAGAGAGAGAGATCAGAGGAATCGTGAGAAACCTTTCTATTTACTGTATTTTCAACCTGGAATGTTCACCCTGCTCATCTTCCCTGGGTCAATCTTTGCTCACTGCTTTTGATCTAGTCTCTGGGAACATTTTTCTGAACCCCTAGGCTTGTACCTTTCCCATATGAGCCTGTAGGATCTTGGGAATGCTTCTGTCTTAAGACCGTTTATCCTTCCAACCAAAGATGATATTAACATATTAATGCTTGGTAACTTTTTTCTATAAACTTCTTTTTAAACATAACTTTAATTGGCCCAAATATGTAACCATGACTCCTGATCTTAGCACTTAATATTTTCATACGCACATCTTTTCGAACGATAGACTCTGCAAATACTCTTTGGAGAAGTTTTGGTTTTAATAACGATACATTTTAATGCACAGCATTACTTCTCTTGGGACTCAACCAGTGAACTATGAAAATAAAAAGCAAATGTAGACATCTTAAAACCAAGACTCTTCATAAAATCCAAAGCTTAGAATCAGGGGAAGGGAAGACAAAAGCAGGGAAAGACAGCAGGAATTTATGTTGTAGATGACACTACCATCAAGCTCAGAAAAAGTGGGTCAAGAGGCTGCTCGACAAAGAAATGAAAAGGAAACCCTGTCCCATCAGTAAAGTGAAGACTGAGTTGGCAGCAACATAGAGAAATAACCTCAAAACACACAAATAGGGAGGTAGAAAGTAGGCTGAGAAAAGTGACCCAAATGAAGTGGAAACCAAGACTTTTAAATGCTATAGAGGAAAAGGACAGACTGGCTGTCCAAGGACAGGATCTTAGTCAGGGCCCTCTTGCTAGGACAGAAGTCCCAACAACTACCACTTAAAGAAGAGGTTCTAACTGACGTACAGTTCTAGCCCAGGGTCAACCAGCTCTAAGGTAGAGAATAGCTGCTCACATCTGGGGCCAAGAAGCAGAGAGGGAAGCAAGGAGCAGGAGAGGGAGCTGTGGCTGTTAGATCAGGCCCCAGTGACCCTCCTCTTCCAGTCAGGCTCCACCTCCTGCCCGCACATTGAGATCCAGAGGCACCATGATGCAGTCACCTTTCAAAAGCCCAGCCTAGGGCTGGCCATACAGCTCAGCAGATTAAAGCACCTACTTAGGTAGAGTACAGTGGCCAGAGTTCAATGCCTCATGTGCCATGCCAGCCCTGCCCCTGTGGCACACTGAGACAGCGATTGGGACTGGGCATGGTGGCGTGTGCCTGTAATCCCAGCACTTGGGAGGCTGACAACAGGAGAATCACTACGAGTCTGATCTGTGCAGTGAGATCCTGTAGACCCTGTACTAAAAACATAAAAAATAAAATAGACTGTGTGCACCCTTCTAGAGAAAGGTGATCTGGAGAAAAACTAAAACAGCCAGAGGGCCACAAGGGAGGGCATCAAAATAGTGAAATAGCAAAACTATTTCAAGACCTAATTTAAGAAAGTTTTCCAGAAATAGGATTTCAATCAACAATTTGGAAAGATATTCTATTCCAGAGAAAACATTTTAAGAGAATGACTCTACAGAGCCATAACCTGCTCAGGTGCCAATAGGCATCAGACAGCATACACACGTAAACGGGAGAGTTCATTAAAGGACTCTTTATAGCCAGAACCCAGGGAAAGCATCCTGTGATGTAGGCCGAAGTCACAGTGGGGTGCTGATGCTACCTGTGGGCTGTGGGAAGAGAAAGATGAGCTGTAGGACCCCTCAGGGCCATGAAGACACCATCTTGCTCCTCCACTCCCTCTGATCCCTAGTCAGGGCTTCTATTGGCCAGACCCAACTGGACCCTGAATTGGAGAGTACCCACAGGAGTCAGGCTTCTGAGCGCTGGTGAGGAGTGGTGGGGGGGGAGAGGGGAGAGAGGCAGGAGAGCTAGTAAAGTTGCTGGACCTGAGACCTGAAAGAGACCTGGGGAGTCCAGACAGCAAAGACAAAGCCATCCTGACTTTGGCTGTATGATATATTATCTAACCCGGGAACTTATGAAAAAGAGAGTGCTGACAGCAAGAATCTAGAGTCATAGGTGTAGACCAGGCTGTCCCAGGACAAATGGCCCTGTGCTAAGCCAACCTGTATAGAGATTCAAATGGCCTCGGACTTCTCTAGCAAGCTTACTACTAGATTCCAGGGTAGGGGTGGGATCAGATGGGGTACTGCCTATAAAACCTCAAAAGAAAATAAACTATGAGCCAAGAATTTAATTCTTAAGTAGTCATTCAGGTTAAAGGACAGTACAACTTTTTGTTGTTGTTGTTTATTTGCTTTTTTGGAGACTGGGTCTTGCTATGTAATGCAGGCTGGCCTAGAACTCATGGTGATTGTCCTGCCTCAGCCACTCCAGTGCTGAGATTATAGGGCTGTACCTACATCTTGCACTGCAATATCTTTGAATATCCGAAGACCAAGGAAATGTGGTCTTAGACAACCTTTAAGAAACTACTTGAAGACAAATTTTAGTCAAACAGTATACAATGAAGAAAACTAGCAAAACATCAGGAAGTATGAAGTTCATCATAATAATGAGCTAAAATGGAAAGAAAAAGCTTTTGAAGTGCAAAATAAAAATTTTTAAAGTGCAATATAACTGAAGTTGGAAATACAGATATAGGTATGTAGGTCAATTTTGATCATCTTTTATATGACCTAAACATGTTACTCATGTGCAGTTACTATATGAAGTATCACAGGTGTGGAAGTATGTAGAAGAATTGAGGCGAACACCAAAACACATTTATAATCCATTAAAATTGGTTGTTGAAAGAGGAGAGAAGTGAAAAGATAGGAAGCCTGACCTTGGTCATAGCAGAGGTTAAAAAGGAACGTCCAGCTCAAGTCATTTGCAGGAGAATGGGTGCACCTTGAGACGAGGATATTAAGTGAAATAAATGTGACACACAGGGGCTGGGGAGATAGCTCAGGCAAGCGCAAGGGCCTGAGTTCAATCCCTGGTTCCGCAAAAAAAAATAATAGTAATAATAAATAAAGAGGGCCGGGAAGATGGCTCAGTGGAATAAGCACTTCCCTGGCAAGTGCAAGGGTCTGAGTTCAATCCTCGTTTCCGAAAAAAAAAATAATAATAATAATAATAAATAAATGAGACACACAGGCTTAAATATCACATGCTTTTTCTTAGGTGAGAAACTAAAAATATAAATAGATTATAAGGAAAATAAAAGATAAAAGGGGCCAGTGAGATAGCTCGGCAGTCTAAAGCACCTACTTAGGCAAGCTTAAGCAGGTGTGGGGGACTGCAGTTTGATCCCGACACCATATGCGGTGCCAGCCCCACCCTCAGGGCAGGCTATGCGCGCCAAAAATAAATAAATAAATAAATAAATAAATTTTTAAAAAGGAAACAGGGAGATGGCCTTTTGCAAAAAGGGAGGAGATCGAGTGATAGAAAGAGCAGAGAGGAAAGGAGAAAGAGACTGAAAGGGGAATTAAGATGGTGTGAACATGTACCAGCCCCCCAAGGAGTGGCGTCATTATGAACTACAAACATGGAATAAGAAAATAAAATCTTTTAAAAGATTGTCCAAAAAGAAACAGAGGTTTTTAGTGTCTTCCGTGACATGACAGCTCTAAGAAGAAGACAAAGTAGAAGTATGAACTCCCTAAATCCATCAGTGCACCCATCTAAAATGAAAGAAATATCACAGACTAGAAAGAAAACCAAGAAGCAATAAAAACAGAAACACTACCTAAAATGGAGACAAGAAGTGGGAGTCTCATGCAGAGCACCAACTTGGAGCAGAAGGGCCTTGAGACAAGGAAGGGTCTTAGTGAGGACACAGGGTCCAGCCTGCAGAGAGGCCTCACGGGTGTTAATGTCTGCAGCAAGTGACCGGCCCACAGAGGGCAAACTACAGGACACAGGCCAGCAGGCAGAGCTTCTTCCTGGTAGGAAATTTAAATTCACTTCGGACACCAGGGCAGGTCAAGCAGAAGCTTCGCTGCGACTTTACACGTTACATACGCCAAACACAAAGAATCAACTTTTAAATTTATCGGTGGAAAAGATTCTTGTGGACCACATTCAGTAGACGTGAGAAGCTCAACAAATTCCTAAATAGTTCACTATGCAATATAACATGAAATTAATAATTTTAGGGAAAAGAAACTAGCACATAAACTCTAGCATCCACATATTTAAAAATTCCATCTTTAATAAAATCCTTTAGTCAAAGAGAAAATCAAAACCAAAACACAAGGCTAGATAGAAAAATAAGAATAGTGGAAACACTGCACAGAAAGCAGAAGTTCAGTATGGGGCCAGTTGGCAATGGCTGTAAGATTATAAACACACCTAACTTGTTCATGCTACAGTGCAATTGCAAACATACATGTATAAAATTGCATATGTACAAGTATATTGCAGCACTTTTTGGTTCTTATAAAAGATTGGAATGACCCAAATTTCCACTGTTAGAAGACAGAGTGATTTTGGTTTATCCATAGCAGGATATCGTGCAGCTCCCTGTGCACTGGTAAGGGCTCCAAAATGCAGGGGAAAGTGAAAAAAATATGAGGTGGGATAATGTATATATTGTGCCACCAGTGGTACTGGAGAATATTACGGATGAAGTTGTGTCCCTGACTCCCCAAAATTCGTATGTTGAAGCCCTGTCTGCCAATGTAGCCATATTTGGAAATTCAGACATCCTGGAAGTAATTAAGTAGCCCAGCATGGTGACACACACCTGTAATTCTCATACTCTAGGAAGCTGAGGCAGGAGGATCTCTAATTTGAGCCCAGTATGGGCAATTTAGCAACTTAAAAAGAACCTGTCTTTAAATCTAAATCCCCAGAACTGACAAAAAAAAAAAAAAAAAAAAAAAAAAGAGAGAGATCTTTCTGCAATAGATAATTGCAAAAAGAGGGAACAAAATGCATTCTCAGGCCCTGAGTTCACCCAGAACAAACCC